CCCCCTCCTCCTCCGCCTTCTCCTCCTCCTGGTACTCTCGGTCGAAGTCGTCGTCGTCCTCCTCCTCGTCCTCCTTTTGCGACTCCTCCCTCCCCCCTTTTTCACCCTCCCTCTCTCACTCCTTCCCTAAGATCTGACGTTGCGAAGAAAATGCATCATCTTGAAAAATCACGACTAGAGCCCTAGAAAGGATCGTTCTGCTGCATTTGTCCAGCCAAAATGGTAAACGATGGTCCCACGGCCCGAAGCTGGGCGGAAGCGCCTGGTGTGAAAAAATTGCAACGCCCAACTCTCAGGTCACACCTTCCCCTGGTCCCTCATCCCGCCCCTCTCCACTCTCCCGGGGCCGCCGCCTGTCCAGGAAGGGCGAGATCTTGGAGCACAGGTCGTATCGGGCAAGCTCTGCCGCGTCATCCGGGCTCGCGGCCTCCTCCGCGGCCTGCTCCTCCTGCGCCCGCAGAGAACGAGAAAGAGAGAGAGAGAGAGAGAAGAAACAAAATCATCAAACATGTAACACAAACAAGAAAGAGAGACAGAGGAAGAGGGAGAGGGAGAGAGGACGAGAGACGGAGAGTGAGAGAGAGGGTCGGCCCCAATATTCACACGGGCGTGGCGAAATGCAACGCGTCTGCTTTATCCTGGAAGCCTCATGTGAGCCATACAAGCCGTCCAAATTTGTCTGGGCCCTCAGCCTCCTCCTCATCCCCCTCCTCCACCTCCTACAACTCCTCCTCCACCTTATCCCTCCACGAACTCATTCCTCCTCGTACTCATCCTCTATCATCATAATCCTCCACATCCACATCATCATCATCATCATCGTCATCATCATCATCGTCATCATCATAATCATCATCGTCATCATCATCATCATCAGCATCATCATCATCATCGTCATCATCAGCATCATCATCAGCATCATCATCATCATCATCAGCATCGTCATCATCATCATCATCACAATCATCATCATCGTGATCCCGGTGTGTGCGAAATAAACGACCGTGGCACGCGGAGCGCGCCAGACGGTTCACAGTTGCCTCCACATGACAACCAGATCATCGCACAGCCATCGCACGCACGACATCGTCCGGTTCACAGTTGCCTCCACATCACAACCAGATCATCGCACAGCAATCGCACGCACGACATCGTTCGATTCACATGCCAACATCATCGCATCACAGCCTTTGCACGCACATTTTGGCAAGGAAGATGGTTTGAAGTCTCCCTCACCGCGGCTGGCAAAACATATCACAGCCTCTGCACGCACGTCTTCGCCAGGGAGATGTTTTCATGTCTGCCTCACTGGGCCTGCCCGAATCATATCACAGCCTGTGCACGCAAGGTCTCGCAAAGAAGATGTGGTCGCTTCTTTGTCGCCGGGCCTATCCCTCCCCCCTCCCTCGCCCGCCGCCCCACCCTCCCAACCTCCAGCCTCCAATTCAAAATCGTCCGCACTCGTCCGCAATCCTCCCGCCGGAGGCCTCCAGCACTAGTCCCCAGACGCCTCCGCTCGAATTTGATATCCTCCGCACTCGTCCGCACTCCTCCCGGAAGCCTCTGGGAGGCAGTCCAGAGGCCACCGCTGGAATTTGACATCCTCCGCATTCGTCCGCACTCCGCCCGAAAGCCTCCGGAGGCACTCCCCAGAGGCCTCCGCTTGAATTTGAAATCCTCCGCATTCGTCCGCACTCCTCCAGGAGGCCTCTGGAGGTGCTCCCCAGAGGCCTCCGCTCGAATTTGAAATCCTCCGCAGTCGTCCGCACTCCGCCCGAAAGCCTCTGGAGATACTCCCCAGAGGCACTCCTTCGCACTCCATTTCAAAATCATCCTCGTTTCCTCTCCTCGTCGCCCCTCCTCCTCCATCCTCCTCATTCCTCCTTTTCCTCCCTCCTCCCTCCCTTCCTCCTTCCTTCCCTTCCCCCCCTTCCCCTCCGAAGTGCAGAGTTGTTCCTCCTTTCTCCTCCTCCTCCTCCTTCTCCTCCTCCTCCTCCTCCTCCTCTTCGTCCTCCTCCTCCTGATTCCTCATTCCTCATTCCTCATTCCTCATTCCTCATTCCTCCTCCTCCCGTTCACCCTCCTCTTTCTCCCCCCTCCTCCCCCACTGCCTCCCTCCCCCCTTCCCTCCCCCTTCCCTCCCCCTTTCCCTCCCCCCCTTCCCCCCCGAAGTGCAAAGCTGTTCCTCCCTCCTCGTCCTCCTCCTCGTCGTTGTCGTCCTCCTCCTCCTCCTCCTCCACCTTCCCTCCCTCCCTCCCTCTTTCCCTCCCCCCCCCTCCCCCCCGAAGTGCAAAGCTGACTCGTGGGCCGGGCAGGTCGGCGCTTCCGCCTCCACCCAGCTTTGCTCCATGGGGGGGAGGGGGGGGAGGGCGAACACGATTTTTGGGCTGTAACAGATGAATGCGAAAATGTGGCCCCACGTGCGGGCGAATCTCATGGGACCGAGAATGTGGCCTCACGCGCGGGCGAAGATAATGGAAACGATACAGTGGCCTCACGCGCGGGCGAAGATAATGGACACTCCGCCGTTCAGGAGGAACCTGTTTGAGCGTATTCTGGCCCCGCGCCCGTTTCGCGGCACACCCCTCACACGTTTCGTACGACACGCACGATCATTACTTCTAATGCAGAACGCCATTACCTCATCATAGCGACGGATGGTCGTTTTTTACGCACGCCCCGGTCATCCTCCTCCTCCTCCTCCTCCTCCTCCTCCTCCTCCTCCTCCTCCTCCTCATCATCATCATCATCATCATCATCATCATCATCATCATCATCACCACCACCACCACCACCACCGCCGCCACCACCACCACCACCACCACCACCACCACCAACCAACATCTCATCATCATCATCATCATCATCATCATCTGCATCATCATCATCATCTGTCTTCCTCATCCTCATCCTCAGCCTCATCCTCATCCTCATCCTCATCCACAACCCTCATCATCAGCAGCAGCAGCAGCATCATCATCCTCATCAGAATCATCATCACATCAGCATCAGCATCATCATCATCATCATCATCATCATCATCATCATCATCATCATCATCATCATCATCATCATCATCATCATCATCATCATCATCATTATCAACGCCGTCGCCGTCGTCATCATCATCAGCAGCACTAGCAGCATCATCATCAGCAGCAGCATCATCATTATCATCGTCATCATCATGATCCTCACCATTATCAGAATCATCATTGTCATCATCATCATCAAAATCAGCATCGGCAGCATCAGCAGCAGCATAATCATCAACAGCAGCATCATCAACATCATCATCACGAGCATCATCATCCTCATCATCAGCATCAGAATCCTCATCATCATTATGATCACCACCATAATCATCATCATCAGCATTATCATCAGCACATCAGCAGCATCAGAATCCTCCTCATCATCAGCATCAGCATCAGCATCATCAGCATCAGCATCAGCATGGTCATCCTCAGCATCATCGACGTCATCATGACCTTCAGCATCACCATCATCAGCAAACCCATCATCATCACCATCAATATCATCGTCACCAGCATCATCATCATCAGCAAAATCAGCATCATCATCAGCATCAGCATCGTCATCATCATCATCATCATCAGTATCATCATCATCAGCATGCTCATCCTTATCGTAAGCATCATCATCCTCATCTTCATCCTCATCATCAGCACCATCATCATCATCATCAGCATCATCATCATCATCATCAGTATCGTCATCATCTTCATCCTCATCATCAGCAGCATCATCATCAGCATCAGCATCATCAGCACCAGCATCAGCATCCTCATCCTCAGCATCGTCGACGTCATCATCACCATCAGCAGCATCATCATGAGCAGTATCAGCAGCAGCACCATCATCAGCATGACCACCACCATCTTCATTGTCGTCGTTCATCATCATCGTCATCAGCAGCATCTTCATCAGAATCAGCAGCATTATCATCCTCATCATCATCATCGTCAGCATCATCATCATCATCATCATCATCATCATCATCATCATCATCATCATGATCATCATCATCAGCAGTAGCATCATCAGCAGCAGCATCATAAGCATCATCAGCAGCATAACCAGCATCATCATCATCATCCTCATCCTCATCAGCATCCTCATCATCATCAGCAGCGTCATCGCCATAGTCCCAACCAGCAGCATCATCGTCAGCAGCATCATCATCAGCATCAGCATCAGCATCGCCACCAGCATCATCACAATCATCATCTTAATCGTCATCGTCATCGTCGATGTCATCAGTGTCCTTCTCCTCCTGCTTATCAATATCTTCCTCATCCTCCTCCTTAGCATCATCAACAACATCAGCAGTATCGACATCCATCATCATCATCATGATAATCATCATCATCAGTATCATCATCATCATCATCATCATCATCATCATCAGCATCATCATCATCATCATCATCATCATCATCATCATCATCATCATCATCATCATCATCATCATCATCATCATCATCATCATCATCATCATCATCATCATCTGCAGCATCAGCATCATCACCATCACCATCATCAGCATCGGCGTCATCATCAGCAGCAGCATTATCATAATCACCACAACCATCATCATCATTAGCATCAGCATCATCATCAACATCATCACCCCATCCAGCATCAGTATCATCATCAGCGTCCTCATCATGAGCATCATCGTAAACAGCATCATCATCGTCATTATCATCATCCGCATTCGTTGCTAGGCATTAGACCGACCGGCGGAAATTGTTCGTTGCGCTACTCCTCCTCATCATCCTCCCCCTGTTCCACCTCCTCCTTTCACACCTCCTTCTCAGCCCCTCAGGAAGCTCAAGCTCATGTGCCAGATCGCGAAGAAGCCCAATCACGTTCACCGCGACATTGATGCCAGTAAGCTACACGGGCGCCAACAGTTCGGCCAGCCACATGAAATATCACACGTTTGAAACGCCAGGTTGTTTCGCTCCCAGCAGAACCCGAACCAAAATGACCGAAAGCGAAACTCCGCCTCGCCATAATCCAAGAGCCTCAGCAAAGCCAGCAAACAGGAACGATAATTCATGATGTCATTCATGGTGAACGCCCACAGATCCAACCACCAGCCCGAGCGTCTCCTCCCCCATGCCCCTCCTCCTCCTCCTCCTCCTCCTCCTCCTCCTCCTCCTCCTCCTCCTCTCCTCCTCCTCCTCCTCTCTCCTCCTCCTCCTCCTCCTCCTCCTCCTCCTCCTCCTCCTCCTCCTCCTCCTCCTCCTCCTCCCCCTCATCTTTCTCCCTATATATATATATATCTCTCTCTCTCTCTCTCTTTCTGTCTCTCTCTCTCTCTCTCACAAAAGACGAAGAAGAGTCGAAGTCGGAAACGGTCTGCCCCGCGCCCTGCAACGCCGCTACCCCTCCCTGAGCAAACTCTAAGAGATGCAGTCGGGTAGCGTCTGGGAAGCGTTGAGCGTTGCTGCGCGGTGAAACCACAGAACCCACAATGATCCCGCAGTTTGGCACTCTGCTTGGACCTGCAAAAATGTCGAAGAGCTTCTTGACTCGAGCCTCGGTAGCTTGAACTGAGGACTCGGCCTATACCACTTCCCTCTCCCTCCTCATCCTCCTACTGCTCATCTTCGTTATCCCCCTCTTCTCCTCTTCCTCCCCCGAGGGGGGGGGAAAGATAAGGAGGAGAAGTGGGTTGGAGTAAGAGGAGGAGGAGCAGAAGGAGAAGATCAAATGAGATGCAGGCAGGGGGACGGTGATGAATCAGCGTCGCTTCCACGCCCCCCCCGCACCGACACCGAAACTTGGCACGCTCGGAATGGGGATCGAAAGGAAATGGAGGACAAGGCCCAACAGCAAGTGTTGTCGAAAGCCAACAGCGGCCGCTCTTGGAGAGGCGATTTTCGTCCCAAATGGACAACGTCTGTGACGGCACCGACAGCGAGTCCCATTCAAAACGAAAAATCAAGAGCTGCTGCCTGTGTTCGTCCCCGCTCCGTCACCATCTCGGGCCCCCAGAGAAGCGAGCAGCGCACGAAGCTGTCAAGCCCATGAGGGGCAACGTCAGGGGAGGGGACCAGCCCCGGGGGGGGGGGGGGAACATCGACCTGGAATCTGCGAGATGTCGCCGAAAAATCAACAATGGGCCCCCGGTAACGAGAGCGCATGCTCGCGGGCGGGGTGGACCATCGGGGCCGAGATCAGCGATCAGTGGGCGATCAAGAGTTGATGCATCACCCCCTGGGCCTGTCCCCCCCGAACAGTGCCCCTGACCCCCCCCCTCTTTCGACACCATGGCGGCTCCTGTGCCCTCACCCCCTCACCCCCCCTCTTTAGACGAGCGCGTTCCACTACTCACAAAGTAACGACTCGCAGATGGCCTGGATCCGCCGCGGGGGATCCACGATGCATCCTCTCAAAGCGCACAGGCGTTTCTCGGACGCCTGCGAGCAGGCACTTTGCGAGTAGTGCAACACGCTCGGCGACTACCAGTGCCCCTGACCCCCCCCTTTCCCACCATGGCGGCTCCTGTGCCCTCACCCCCTCCACCCCCCCTCTTTAAAGGGAAATTTGGACACACAAATAAATACACACAAGTAAAAATAGTCCCCATATTTTCCCATATTTTCTGGGTTTTTGTCTTCCCCCCAATTCCCATATTTTCCCATATTTTCCTGGGAATCGACAATTAATTGTGTCTGTGTGTTTTTTCTCCTCCTGACTCTTGCGCGCCCCCGATCCGCCCGAGAGGCGGCTCCTGTGTCATCGCTGCGGCCGGTGCTGCGCTCCGCCAAAAATAGCACCGGAGAGGGGGTGGCGCCGGGAGGCCGACCCCTGAGCACGGCGGCGCGACCTCCTTCTCGTCGTCCCCCTCCTCCTCCCCCTCCTCCTGCCCCTCCTCCTCATTTTCCTTCTCCTCCTCCTCCTCCTCCTCCTGCTCCTCCTGCTCCGCCTCCCCCTCCTCCTCCTCCTCCTCCTCCTCCTCCTCCTCCTCCTCCTCCTCCTCCTCCTCCTCCTCCTCCTCATCCTCATCCTCATCCTCATCCTCATCCTCATCCTCCATTCCTTGTCCTCATGAATAGCTCCTCCCTGTCGTACCCCGAGGCTGGTCGGAGGGCGGGCTGGGCGTTTCGCCTGGGACTTCCTTACCATTGTTGAGCCTCAGGCTTGAAAACTGGCAACAGCTTCACAGGAGGGCAGATCGCTTCCAACATGTGAATCTCGCCTCAGCGCCGTACACATGTGTTCTCAACCTTTGCGGAGTTTCACGGATTGAGGGCGGTTCCTTCTCAAAATGCGGCTCTCGCCGCCTTGGCGCCGCGCACATTCGCTTCAAAA